GACCATGTCTACATGCTTAAATGCATTGAGTTGCTGCCATGTGATTGGCTGATCAGAAATTTGCGTTAACAAGCAGTTGAAGAAGGGTCCCTAATAAAGTGGCCAGTGAGTGATATTTTTTGATGATTTATTGTACATGTCAGGCTTATTAAAATTTGATTTGTCATTTGATCTTTGACTCACTTTGTGCCTCCATAAAACGGGTCATTAAATTCCTGGACGACTCGAGCAGCGTACCACGACACGGCCACGATAACACACAAACCTGCAGAGAGAGAGCAAGCGGATGATGACATGAGCGCTTATATAAGTCAAACACTCCTTCACCAATAATAAAGTGTAGTTGAGTGTGTGTGTGTGTGAGTGTGAGAGAGTGTCTCTGAATGTGTGTGTGTATATGTGTCTGAGTTAGTGTCTTTCAGTGTGTGTCACTCTGTGAATTTGTGTTTTTGTGTGTATGAGTGTGTGTGTGTGTGTGTGTTACTCTGTGAGTGTGTGTTTTTGTGTGTTTGAGTATGTGTGTGTGTCTGAGTAAGTGTCTTTCAGTGTGTGTTACTCTGTAAGTGTGTGTGTGTTTTTGTGTGTATGTGTGTGTCTAAGTGAGTGTATTTCAGTGTGTGTTATTCTGTGAGTGTGTGTTTTTGTGTGTATGAGTGTGTGTGAGTGTGTGTGTGTGTCTGAGTGAGTGTATTTCAGTGTGTGTTATTCTGTGAGTGTGTGTTTCTGTGTGTATGAGTGCATGCGTTTGTGTCTGAGTGAGTGTCCTTCAGTGTGTGTTACTCTGTAAGTGTGTGTTTTTGTGTGTATAACAGCATGTGTGTGTGCGAGTGAGTGTCCTTCAGTGTGTGTTACTCTGTAAGTGTGTGTTTTTGTGTGTATAATAGCATGTGTGTGTGCGAGTGAGTGTCTTTCAGTGTGTGTTACTCTGTGAGTGTGTGTTTTATGTGTATGAGTGTGTGTGTTATTCTATGAGTGTGTGTTTCTGTGTGTATGAGTGCATGCGTGTGTGTCTGAGTGAGTGTCTTTCAGTGTGTGTTATTCTGTAAGTGTGTGTTTTTCTGTGTATAATAGCATGTGTGTGTCTGAGTGAGTGTCTTTCAGTGTGTGTGTTACTCTGTGAGTGTGTGTGTGTTTCTGTGTGTGAGTTTATGTAAATGGGTGTGTTACTCTCTAAGTCTGTATTTTTGTGTGTATGTGTGTGTGTGTAAGAGTGTGTGTCTCTAAATGTTTGTGTGTGTGTGTGTGTGTGTGTGTGTTAATCTGTATCTGTCTAACTCTGTGAGTGTGTGTTTTTGTGTGTATGAATGTGTGTGTGTCTGAGTGAGTGTCTTTCAGTGTGTGTTACTCTAAGTGTGTGTGTGTGTGTGTGTGTGTGTGTGTGAGTGTCTTTCCGTGTGTGTTACTCTGAGTGTATGTGTGTGTCTGAGTGAGTGTCTTTCAGTGTGTGTTACTCTGAGTGTGTTTTTGTGTGTATGTGTGTGTCTGAGTGAGTGTCTTTCAGTGTGTGTTACTCTGTGAGTGTGTGTGTTGTGTTTCTGACCTGACAGGATGAACATGATTCCTGCAGTCAGGCTGATTTTGCCCTTGGCCTCCTCAGACGTGCTGCCCAGTTTAGTGCACTTGAGTCCCATCGAGGCCAGAACCACAGACAGCAGACCCAGAATCAGAGCGATGATCATCAGAGCCCGACAAGCCTGGATATATCCTACAATACACACGCACAAACAAACAATACCATCTCTCAATACTACACTCTATAAACATCAGCAGCTAGATTATTAACCATGCAAACATACACACAGTGGTGGAAAGAGGACTGAATAGTCATACTCAAGTAAAAGTACCGTCACTTGCCCAAAAATGTAGTGCAAGTAGAGTAAAAGTACCTGTTTTAAATATTACTCAAAGTAAAAAGTAGAGCTTTCAGAAGTACTCAAGAGTAGTGAGTATTATGCTGTAAAAAGTTGATGGATTCACATGTAATTTGTGAATGTGTGTGTAAACGTAACATTCTGTAGTGCATTTAGTTCTTGCCCAGCAGGCACACGTCATTAGACGTTAATATTAGGTTTGATTTTTCTTAACTACACTCAAAAAAATCAACTAGGCATGTATTGGATTTACAAAATAAAAATTTGTCAGATTGAAAAGAACAAATCAAGTTTACTCATGTTAAATGATTAATTCATGTTATATGAAACTGAATCAAGAAATAATCAAATGAATTTGATCAGAACATGTTGATTCAATGAGACTGAGACGCTTCAAATCGACAACTCTCACTCTGGAGAGTCACTTCACGCATATCAGTAGGTGGCGGTAGTGCGTTTGGATGTCACCATACGAAAACGGCAAGAAGAAGTATCACCGCGTGTTTTCGGCACAGTTTGGGATTTGGTTTTTCCAAGAGCTTGAATGTTATGCATGTTATGTTGTTGGCTAAATGTTTCCTATACATTTTATACTTTTACATTTTGAATAGGAGTACCAAAGTGAAGAAAGCTGTTTAAACTCAATTGGTAAAAAAAAATGATGTTAACGTCCTACAAATATTGCTTGGGGATCAGTTTTCTTAAGAGCCAAGGTTATTTTGTTGGCTAAATGTTTCTTATACATTTTATATTACATATTGCAATTTTGGATATTATATATCATTTTGTATCAGAATATTAAAGAAGAAATTTGTTTAAATGTGATTGATGCCTGCTAAAGGCTATAATAAAAGAAATATATATATATATATATATTAGGGATGTAACGGTATTGTAAATACCGTCATACCGCAATATTAATTTTTTTCGATATTACCGTAGTCGCATGACTCGGTAAAACTATAGGTCTTCTGAGAAAATTTGCTCAGGCGAATGAAGCGAACGGGAGGTAGCGAAAACTACAATTCCCATCAGCGCAGGCTTGGCCATAATCCCTTGCGGTCTGTTGTCGCTACAGATCCAGTAATGCGGAAATGGAGTGTGCTGCTAGAAGCGGGGATCAAAAAGAGCTGGAAAACCCTAAAGCGGGTGTTGTCGCCGCGCGCGTACTGAATAGTGGTGTTGTCGCGCGAGTTCTTATCAGCTGTGTTGTCGCCGCGCGCGTACTGAATAGCGGTGTTGTCGCGCGAGTTCTTATCAGCTGTGTTGTCGCGCGCGTACTGTAAAGCGGGGACGGAGGGTATGTCGCGTCGCGGGGGCACTTTTGATCATTTTGGAAGGGAACTTTCTATCCAAGACTAAAAAGGGCATGTGCACTGCACAGGTTGAGCACTGTGTGTGCACGTGCCTGCAAGTTGGGGAATACGACTAATAATCAGTCATGGGGACTGCAGAAACACAGCACACTGTTCAGATTGATGCAGACATGAGACCTCTATCTCACTCATGGTTTGTCCTCTCAAGTGGGGGAAAGACAATGCACAACGTTACCCACTGCTGTCAACCTGGGCCAAGTCATATCTCTCTGTCCCAGAAACCTCAGTCCCAAATGAGAGGGGTTTTTTCTGTTGCAGGGGACATTGTAAATACCCAGAGATACCAGCTTTTACCAGATTATATTTATATGATAATTTTCCTTTAAACCCATCTCTATCTAAGTGAGTGAGTGATTAAATGTTGAATGTGATGAGTTTTCAACAATACTAAATTGAAACTTTATTTTTTTACATGGTTTAATGATTTTTTTGTTATTAAAATTGAAGTTCCTGTTTCAAAGCTTACAGATAGATGGCTAATTTGTATATCATTGACACTTTTGGCACTTTTTTGGAGTATTTTCATAAGTTTTGTTTTTTCCTGTAAATGATTCAATAAATACCGTACCGTGACATTCATACCGAGGTATTACCGTACCGTGAAATTCTGATACCGTTACATCCCTAATATATATATATATATATATATTCAACACAAAAAGGACAGAAAACATGTTATATATATATATATATAACATGTTTTCTGTCCTTTTTGTGTTGAATTACTTAATTTTATTCTTGCTTCATAGTATTGTCATTTAAAAAATGTAATTTAAACAACAATATTGAACAAGAAATTTACTAGCTGATTTATCAAGACATAATTTTGTTAAAGTAAAGCTTTAGTGTTACATCGAGTAAATTAGAATCATTTTAATTAGAATAACACAATACAAACATTTTGAGTCAATTAGTTGCAAAGAAGTTAGACTGACATATTGAAACCATGTTTTATCTACAAATGTGCTTTGTGTTCATACAACATGTTCAAAGCAGTTCAGGTTTACTTGATTGGATTAAATCATGTTCATTCAACAAATTTTTTTTTTGAGTGTGTCTAGATGAGCAAACCAGCCACTTAACCTCTTATGATTCTAAATTTACTTATTTTACATATTTAATTATTCATTTTTACTCACTTGTTTATTCTATTTTCTTTTGTCGATTGCTAAACTGTTGTCATTGTTATTTGTTCATTGACTTATTGTATGGGATTTGTCCGAGACAGTGCCAAGTGTTGTGTGTGTTTGTGTGCGTTTCTTCTTGAAAAATCCCAAAAAAATTATTAATTATTAGTAATTATTAGTAATTATGTAAAAAAAAAATATTAGTTTAGATTTAGGTTGTGATGTCAGGTGACTAAAATTCAACATCTAGCCAGCGTCTAAAGACGATGTTATTTTGATGTCCAATAATGACGACAGATGATGTTGATATTTGGTTGATTTCAGGTTGTTAGAAAGTGACCAAATCCATGTTGAGCCAGCATCTTAAACCAACGTCATACTGACATCAAATACTGACATTTATTCATCAGGTATGGCAACCAAAATCCAACGTCTGATAGACGTCGTAGTGGTAAGTGAAATAATGAAAGAAAAACTCAAGACTTTCAGAAAAAGGAAAACAAATAGTGTGAGACTGATAACAGCAGCCAGAGGAGAGAATAACCTCCAGTTACTCTCAGCCCCATAGATGCTGCATTACAAACACCTCACACAAGCGGTAATTAGAGTTATTGTAATTTGATGCGAAGATGATAAAATACATACATAAACACATATAAATGTTCATATGTCTTTTTTAAATCTAAATATTAAAAACTTCCAAGGATTTAAGATTATCATGCTCGTTAAACGTGTCATAGCAGTCTTGTGAAAGGGGTCCAAAGAGTGAAACCAGCCTGATCTCACGAGGAAACGCAATTATTTTTCGTTTTGTCAGTTTAGTGGCTCATACAAATCCAGTTGTACGAAAATGTACGATTTAAAAAAAAAAAAAAAAGAGGCGCAGCACCAAACCCCACGCCTTAACCTAGCTGTCATTGGGGGATGAGCAAATCATACTAAATTGTATGAATGAGATTGTACCAATTCATATGAACTAGCCACTAAATCAAAAGTTACGAATTGCTGTGAGATCAATGACTGTAAAAAATATGGACGACGCGACAGCCCTTTTTCCCATTGAACGCCTTGAGGGCAAATTGCCTGCTTGACGGGCACAAACTGTCGCAAAAGACTGCTGAAATTGGAGCCAGACATGCGCAGAAGGATTGTCTGATGGAGCCAGAGGAGGAGCCGTGATAATGAGCAGAGTCGAGCTTCCAACCAAACGCTTTATGTAAAATCAACCACGCCCCCCGAACTTCTCAGCATGCGTTTGCTGTCATATCAACACAAATGGATGTAATAACGTTAACAAATATGAGGGTTTTATATATTCAATCGCGCCAGCTCCAGGCCGCAGCGCATAACCTACTCGCGGCGTCGCGGGCTGATTCCGGCTCGCATGCGGCAGCGCCGAATCGCTCGGCCGCCGCATCTGGCTCGATTGACTCGGGCTGGAATTGGGTAGTGAGTCCAGGCATCTGGAGTAGGTCCAGCAGAGGTAACGTTAGTCAGTCTGAGCTCTAAGACATAAGTCTCCGGCAGGCGAGAATCTAGCCGGAACTGGCCCGAGTGTATTTTGCTATCTGGGTGGTTAGGCGTGTATCAGCAAACTAATAAAGCCAGAAAAAGCCCTGAACTTAGCGAATAAACAGTGTTCCACCAGGATCATGTATGTCAGAAACTATAGTTTACTGCTGAACTCATTTTATCATGGTAAAATAACACAGAAATCGAATAATAACACTTCAGTCTCCTGCCGAAGCTCAGACGCGCTGCTTTGAGAAACTGTCAATCACAGCTGTCAATCACGATGACACGCCCAGCATTAAATTACTGCTAAAAACAAACTGTTTACAAAAATGAAGATCTGCACCTATTTCAGCACAATAACCAGTGCCTTAATCGACCAGAACCATCTTTCGGGACATTTTATTGCAAGTGTAATATTTTTTTTTATTTGGGCTCAAGTCTCCTTCAATAACACGGAGGAGGTGGGCTTTATGACTTGTACTGCAGCCAGCCCCCAGGGGGCGATCTAACGGCCGAGACCTTCACTCAAACGCAGGCTTGCGGCACACTTGTGTGAGATAGCGTTGGTGAGACTGATAACAGCAGCCAGACGAGAGAACGTCAAATTTACTGTTCCGCACCCATAAACGCTGCATTATAAACACCTCGCATCAGCGGCCATTTGTTTTATTGTAATTTGATGGACAGATATTTGCAGATTATATTATTGAAAATATAGCATTATAAATGTGTACATTAAAAAATTATAATTAATAAAAATGTTACCCAGAGATGGGTTGCGGCTGGAAGGGCATCCGCTGCGTAAAAACGTGCTGG